AATGCCAACGGGCTATAAAGAGCAACTGCACAAATATAATATTTAATACTGAATGTCAGTTTGGGTGTTCCACTCAATTTCCTGGAAAGATCTTTAAACTCGTCTTATTTAGCTTGAATACCCAATCAGTTCCATACTCCAGCCCGAGCTATGTAATTCCGCATAACTAAGTTCTCTAATTTCTGAGATGCAAATGTAGAGCAGATGTAAAAGGGGAGTGGAGGGAAGGGGGGATGTTCCTGCGCTTTCAGCAGCCCTGGTTATCAGTGCCGCCTGGATCAGAGCGTGAAGGGGCTGTCAGGCTCTGCAAAAAGCACAGACCCCCGATGGAGCCTAAGCCAGGGCTGTTGGAGAGGACTTGGGACAAGTAAATAGCGTGTGCGCTGAGAAATCAGGCAGCTAGCATGGCCAGTTTGTAGTGGGAATAAATGGGGGACCTGTCCTGCCAGCAAAGCCCCGTCCTGGTAAATGAGCCGGAGTTATTGTGCAGGCTGAGGGAGCACTGGAGGTAAATGACAGTGAGCTTCTGGCTTTCTCGGTAGTGAGATGGGACAGGGAAGGAGCTGTGATCCGCTGGGACTTCTCCCAGGTAGGCAGAGACTGTCTCCTTGCTGTCTGAGCCCTGCTGTCCCACGTGTCCCCATCCATCCGTGGCCATCAGTTGTCTCACCACCCATGAGCAGCATCTTCATCCAGCCAAAACAGCCAGAACAGCACCAATCACTGCCCGTACAGCCTCTAGCACTGCCACTGTCCTGGTGTCACCCACGGCCACAGTGACAGGCAGCGACAACAGCAGAAGAAACCCCTTTCCTTTCTTGCCCCTTCCAGCCTGAGACTGTCCCCTTCAGACCCTACAGCTCCCATCCTGAGGTTTTATGGGTCAAACCCAGCACACTCCCCACCACGGGGGTCAAAATTAGGGAAAAGTGTCCCAAGGGAGATGGGTCACTCAGGCTAAGGGCTGGCTGGTCTGGCAGGGGTCAGGGCAGGCCGTGGTGCCCCCCAGCAGGGCTGGAAGCTCAGCAGCTGCCACCGCAGCGCTATCCATCACCACGGGCTCTTTGAGCTCGGTGAAGTTATTTGACCTTTTTTTCTCTGCTTTAAAAAGAAATACAATAAAAATGTGATGCTGGCTGCAGCTTCTAAAGCAGAACTGACCAAATACCATATATAGTATCAACTAAGGACAGCCACAGACTTCCTTCCATCTTTTTAAGCCATCCCCCTTCCTACAGCACCATCCAAGTTGCATTAATCATGGGCTTCTTCAGTGCAAGCGGGATTAATCTGCCCTCCCGCCATTTCCCTGATGTTTTTCAGCAAGCGTTGGATGCACGCAGGGCTAGTGTGCACCTCACAGGCACAGCGGCCATGGGATGCAAAGGAAACAGTAGCTATTTCTATCGGGTCAAGCCGCAGGGTGTTTCCTGCTCCTCCAAGCAGATCAGTCCCAGGTGGTCACAGCCCCGTGCGCTCTTAGGTCAAAAAACTGCTCAATTTCTCCATGCTCAGCGCTTGCTTGCCAAGAAGAAAAACTGTTTTGCTGAGTGACCCATCCTATTTCTTTGGTTTAAACATCTCAGCAGGCCTCAAAGGCTGCTTCTGTATCCAGCCTTTAGGCATTGGTTCTGAAAAAAAAAATCAGAGAGGGTTTCTGAAGCTGAGCTGGCTGAGTGCAAACACCCTGTACAAGGAGATGGTGTTTGGGGTTTGCAGAGAGAAAGGCTTTGGGGATTCATTTGTGCCTCAAAGAGTGGGCTGGATGATTAATTTTTACATTTCTGCCTGGGTTAATCCTGGATTATTCTAACCTCTTTGTCTAATCCACTGAAATTTCTGTCTGTGATGCGTTCACAAATGTGCCCCCTCTCCAAACTGCCCCTCAGGGTGCTCTGCCACCAACACACAGCCCTGGGGCTGTGGTAGAGTTACCTTGCCTTCATCCCACTCTTCTTCAGCACCGGCTACAGCCATAAAAGTTGCCAGCCCAATCGCTGGTGCAGGGATGGAGGCAGGGAGGTGTCAGGGACTGCATTGCTCACTACCTGACAGCCTCTGTGGCTCTCGGGGAGTCGCTTCCTTTTCTTGTTCCCAAATGCATTTGCCTGAGAACTCCTTGGAGATGTGTTCAGTGTTAAGCTGACGTGTGATGTAATGCGTGTACTCGTAAACTGTAAAAAGGAAAAAAAAAAAAAAAAAAAAAAAAGAGCCCTCTGCGCTTTATCTGAGCTAATCACAGTCCTTCTATCACACGGGAGACATGGGTCCTTCATGTCATGTTCTGGTGTCGTTACAAACAAAACCCTTAAAATGTCTTTTTCTCTCTCTCTTTTTTTCTTTCTTTTTTTTTTTTTTCTTTTTTTAATTTAATTTTAATAGGAAAACTGCTCATGTATTCTGCCACATGAAAGTAGATGTGCCTTCATTTGTGGCCGTGCTGATTACAAAGCCTCGGAGATCTTTAATTAAATCGCTTGGGTTTTGGGTACTCCTTTCAAAGGGAGCCATCAAAATAGCATTTGTGACTCATTACAACTATAACAGTGATGCTATCGTCTTCGCCTTCCTACATGACTCGTTTTGATCAAAACCTCTGCATCTTGTGCATACCTTGGGCAGCCGTGAGCCTGCACCTCTGCTGCCTGGGGCAGGGCACGGCTGGCCTTGCCATGTCAAGGGGAGCTGTGCTCATCTCCAGCTGGTTTGTTGCTCTGCTGAGAGACGTGGTGTCGAGATGCTTTGCATCCAAAAGCCCCAAAGTGACCCAAATATGAGCAGAATTTATTCTGGGTATATCTGTGTCATCAGGATGTCCCGAAGGCATGTTGCAATCAGCATGCTTGTAGTGTCTTCTCTTGCTCAAAACTCTCCTCCAGGTGGTTTGTCTCCTTTTTTTTTTTCTTTTTTTATATATTTTTTTAAAAGCAAGGGAGCCCTGAATCTGTGTCCACATTGAAACTGTGCTTCCCCAAGTAAGGAAGGACCAGCCCTTGTTCCTCTGCAGCCAGGCAGGGGCCAGCAGACACCCCCCTGCCACTACTCCTGCTGCAGAGAGGATGCAGAGAGGTCCCTTCCCTTCTGCCTGGGGCTCGGGGAAGGTCTGGCTGCAAACCAAACAGGACCACGAGGGCTCGTGAGCGTGCAGGCTTATTTTACCAAAGCTTGAGGATACCCTGAAAGCACATTGCTCATGTGTCCATGGTCCTCGTGGCAGGGAGGAGTGACAGGTCCCTCTTCCACTGCTGTTTCCACCTATTAATGCTGGGGACAAAGCGGTGCTGGCCCTGATGCTGTCACAGGGATGAGGATTGCCACTGATATGTGTGCCCTCAGGTTTGTTTTCTGATACCGGGGGACATCCCTGTTGCCTGGCGAATGGCATGTGGGTACAATCAGTCTCAGGCAATTTATTTTACTGCCCTGTGTAAACACAGTGCTGAAATTGTCACTCTGATTTAGGAGGTGCCAGATTTTTCTGTTAGTCATTTTTTTTTCCTTTTTTTTTTTTTTTTATTTGCTTTCTCAACACCTTCCGCTCCATCTCTGGAGCTGCACTTCATGAGCAGCTTTTGCCCAGGATTTCCCTGGTGCTGGGATGTGTTTGCGAGGTGTGAGCTCTGCCTCCCAGCCCATCTGAGGTGTTTTCTAGGAGATTGGCAAGAAGGAGAGGGCAAAACTGTTTTTCACCCGGCAACCATTTTGTGCACTGAAAACTGGAAGTATCGTTTTAAATGAGCCACTCAGAGAGACATGATCACCCAAATACAGATGAAATCACTTAAAAATTTTGAAACTGGCAACCTCGTATATTTTAATTATAGACTGCAGTGATATTCTGCTGAAAGCAATTATGTTGTAGCTCTTCCCACACACACAGGCAGTCCCAGTTGTGCTCCACAAAAACTAGCGGTTAAGCGAATCAAGCATCACGTATACTTTTTTTTAAGAAAAAAATAATAATATATTTTTTTTCAGCCCTTTGAAATAAGGCAGAGATTCACCATTCTGGACATGGCCTCATTGCACATATGTGGTGCGTTTAGGTGAATGAATGTAGGTGCATTGATTGCGGCAGCAGAAGGATGGATCTACCACGTGGACTGCCTTTTCCCCACTTTTTGAATGGCCTCTTGTTTTTACCATGAAAACGGCCGTCCCTGCTTCGTCAGGGCTTTTCAAACTTGCCACGGCCAGAAAAGATACCTCTGTTTAGAAGCAGAGAAACGATCCACTAAAAAGTTTCAAACGCAAGGGTATCCATTTCACCGGGCTGCACTGGCCAACAAGCGTGGCTTGCTGAAATGTGGTCGAGACGCTCAGATACAGTTCATGCTACTGATACCCCTTGCTCTCCCGTCAAAATTAGCCCAGATGAATGGGGCCTTTTGTAGTTGGGAAAGAAACAGGCAGAAATCACAATAATCTCTTTCTAGCCGGGCTTCTCCAGCGCAGGGTGAGCCGACGGCTCTGCCCGGTGCTGTAGAAGAAGGAAAACAGCAATTTCTCAGCGGTTTCCTTGGCATGTTGGAAACTGAAGGCGATCTTCTCTCCTGCTGCCCGTTGCACCTCGGGCTGGGCGCTCCTGTTGACTCAGTTCCAGCCGTGCAAGCATCACGGGGCTGCAGGATGGCAATTGCATCCCTCACGGACCTGGCCCCATCCATGTCCCCTGGTTGGGAAAGCTGGTGGCTTTCCGTGCACGTGTCCCTGGCCAGAGCCTTCACTCCCAGTGAGGAGTTAGGCTTCTTTCCTGTTATTCTAAAACTAAGTACTTTGCACATTTGGAAAGAATAATTAAATAATGGTCTGAGTGACGGTCTGTGGTTGGAGTTAATTTCTTCCAGTTCTCAAAGTGTCTAATTACACTTTCTTCAATGCTAACTGTACGGGTTGTTTCAAAGCTGCAAAGATCTCTTGTTTAAAAAAAAAAAAAAAAAAAAAAAAAAAAAAAAAAAAAAGGAGGAGAAAAACCTCAGTTCATCCCTCCAGAGTGAAAGAGTCTGGGGACAGAAGGGTAGCCCAAATATCTAAATATCTTCTGACTTCAGCATGACTCATGGTTCTGTACATTTCCCCCAGAGTATCCTTGAAAGAACAGAAAAAACCAGGCCAGATGCTGCCTGGTGTAAGTCCAGGTCTTCCCTTTTACACAGCTTGCATTCCCTGACTTAAAGCCACTCTGTCTTTAATGCAGACCCGTGCCAACTGGAGACACGGTCACTGTAACTTGGTCACATTTAGAGACCTTCTTGTAGTGGCTAATTGACGAGCAACACAGCTTTATGCAGACTTCCCACGGGATGGGCAGGAACACTGTTTGGAGGTGTATTCTACCTCTTTGCCATGGGCAATTTACAAAAACAAACACACCCTGCAGCTGATTTTTCCGGTGACGGTTTGAAATGCATTAGGTGGGTGTCGGGGGAGATGAGAGGGGCAGAGCCAGTGGGGCTGTGTGACCGGCCGGTGAGGCACGTTGTCCTTCTGTGAGCAAGGACAAGCCCTGGGACCTCAGTGGCATCGTGGCCACACTCACGACCATTGCTGAGCATCACTTCAACCCCAATCACAGCAAGCTTTTACCCACCGTTGGCTTGGCCATGCTCAAATTGGATATTTCATGATTCCCAGGTCTTTGTCCTGCAATCAGACCATAGAGGGGATAAGTAATGTGGAACGGGTGCCTGGCAGTGCACGTGGCTTTGTTTTGGGGGCTGGTTTGATGCCTGATGCTGCACTCGCTGACCTCTCCGAGGGATGGATGCGCCCGGTTTGATCGGTGGCCTACGGGAGGAGATGTGGGATCCTCCGAGAGCAGGCGAGCTCACGTTGTGATTTATTTTTCTTTCCTGGGGTTTGTGACTGAATCAGACGGGAGAGAGGAAGTGAAGGTTTGTTCTTTCTAAAGATTTATTTCGTTACATCTGCAACAAGTCAAGAAGAGAACAGGGTAGAAAGGCTTTTGGTTTTGGGCCTGGAACAAAGCTCAGTACTTGAGATAAACAAATGGGGGAAAGGAATTATCAAAGAAAGAGCTGGCCACAGACTCTGTTATGAGCTTTATTGTAACAGGCTGAGAAACTCTGGTAACTTGAACCAAAGTGAAAGCGGACCGGACTCTGCAGGGTGAAAGGAAAAGCAGATGATGGAGGTACCTTGAGGAAGAAAGTGCTCTGTCTGCCTGCCTACCCCTCTGTGTGAGCCTCCTGTGTTGCTCTTCCAGGTGGAGATGGACATGGAAAATATTCCAAGGTGCAGGTGAGAGGACCCAGAGGATGTGCAAGGTGCGTGATGTGCCCAGCTGCTGCTGACAGCTGTGCACGAGCTGTGTATGCACCTGACTCTGCTGATTCATCTAGGAAATGCAGCAGCGAGGTTTTTGTAGCATCAGCAAGCGCTGAGACACACGAGCACAAGATAAATTGTAGGTATTGATGTGGCTGGGCATCACACACCAGTGGGCTTTACCTGCCAGGTGTGACGTGCTATACTTGCTGTGGAGACACCACAGTCTGCATGACATACATTTCCTACGCAAGATTTCTCTGCAAAATTTTCAAGTATTTAATTGCAAAAGTATTTCCAGACCATGACTGCACCTTCTCCAAGTTTCCTCTTTGGCAAGCAGGTGGTAATAATAATTCCTACCTAGTGCTGAGGCCAGTCTAGGAGCTGAACTACTACAAGTAGGCCAGCGGAGATGGTGTGAAATAAATGATCTGAGAGATACAGCATTTGGTCAAAGAACAGAGTTTATTTCTCTGTGGGGAAAAGAAAAAAAAAAAAAAAAAAAAAAAAAAAAAAAGGAAAAATGATGAAGCCTTCATTTCCACAGTGTTAAATTAACAACAGCAAAAACAACTCAAACGAATAAACTGCATGCTAAGTAAATTTAAAGGAATTACTATGAAATGAATGCCAGCTTGCTTTTCTAGTGCCTGCATATGCAGCCAACAACCCCTCTGTAGCATTTCCCAAAAAGCTCAGAGGACCATGCCATTCCCTGCTCCCCTCTGCACAGCTGTAGGGCCGCGGTGCCCCCAGAGGAGCTCCTCCAGCAGAGATAACCCCACTGCAGCCCCGTTACCTGTGCTCCTTATCTCGCTGATATCCTATCAGCCCTGCTCATGGTGAGGTTGGTGAGATAGCAAAGTGGGGCAATTAGCGGTAATTAGCCTGGTAACCCTGGGGCACAGAGGGTCTGTGTCACCCCCGGTTCTTCTAGAGAAGACTATAGGGTTGGGTGGCCATGGGGCTGGAAATCAGGGTGGGCTTTGTGCTGCCAGTTCCCTTGTATCACCGTGATGGGGCTGGGTTTGGGGGCAGAGCCTTGGGGCAAATGTGGGAAGGGTGCAGGTGGCCTCATCTTGGGGACGGGAGGATGCACAGGAGGCTCACACCTCCAGAAAGTGCATGGCTGGGCCACCCCATGGCATTTTAGAGGCATTAATCCTACTAAAACCAGCAGGCTGGTCGTGCAGGTGATGGTCTGTGGCTTCTGGGCCATGAGGCACCTTGCTGGGACCTGCCAGGATGGGGAAATCTCAGGAAGGTGGGAGTTTCAGGGAACTGAAAAAGTCAAGTTTTCCTTTGGTGCTGTGTCACTGGGGTCTGTCTAAAGCAACCAAACCCTAGAGTTGACTCTGCCATCGGTACACCCTAATAGAAGAGGGGAAAACCTCCACAAAGATGAGTTTTGGGTCATCTGGGGCACACGCAGGCTGACTTGCCCACATCGAGGCGGGCTGCCCCCATCACTTGTTCCAAAAACTGGCTTTTCCTACACCCTCCAGGCACTCACCCCAGTGTGAGGGCTTTCCTGTCTCCACCCGCAGTGGGGTAGGGGTGGGCTTCCTCCACCCCACATGGCTGGCACCCGATCGAAGCTCGGTGCACGACATCCCCAAATGAGCAGCGTGGCTGTGGCAGTCGCTGGAGTTGCTGGCCAGAAACCTATAAAGCAGAAGGGAAATTGTTTTGGTGGCAGAACTACAAATACTCAATAAAGCGCAGCTTGTTTCAGGGCTTTTTTATGTGGTTCTGCGCTGACTTCTCGTCCCCTAATTCACAGCAGAAGTGAAGCAGAGTGTAGCAGAGATTGAGCATGAATCCTTCGCGTTTCGTTAATGGGAACAATTACAGCAGTTTCTTCTTTTTCTTTTGCCAAGCTGTGATATGAAATAATTTGCTGGGTTCCTGTTTCCATAGAAACAATTAGTTTCATACTATTTTTATATTACACATCAATGAAGTGATTAACTAAGTAAAGGCCGACACTTCATAAACGTATTGTCTCACGCAATAATCATGGAGCTACCAAGTGCCACAGCTAAATGCGCTTGAAGTGCAAGGAAACCAGACCCATAAAGCCCTTACCAGTGTGTGAGTATTTATTGATCTGATGTGGCATGTGCTTCATGAGCCAAAAATACCCCAAATTTCAAACATTGGTGTTCAGGTGCCGTGGGGCTCGCTGACTTTTGTGGAAGTTCCCAATTTCTCAGAGGGTCTGGGTGCCTTGATTTGTCTCCAGGGAAGGTTTTAGGGACCTGTTGTATGATGCAGATGGATTTGAGCTGCCAGCGATGCTGAAAGCTGCCATCCTGCAGGCAGAGGAAAGCCAAGGGCGGATGGCTTGCCCTGTGGTTGGTGTGCTCACAGGGACGTGCCTGGTCCCCAGCCTTTCTCCAAGGACTCGATGCATATTTTCTCCTTAAAACAAAATATACAAAGAGTCCGCCCGGCACGGAGTGGAATTCAGGGCTCTGCCCGCTCCCTCCCGAGCACATCTGGGAGCCTTTCCCTCGCAGAGCCGAGCAGCTGCACCGCCGGGGAGGGCGGAGGGAGGGAGAGAGGGAGGGAGACTCCCATGCGCTGTCACGGGGGGAAAGCGAGGGCTGAAATGGGAACTGCTTTCAGGGACGCTGTGGTGGGTGGCTTGGCCCCGAGGCTGCTCGCTTGGGCAGGGACGGGACCGCTGGGGATGGTGCCCAGTCCTGGGGAGGTGCAGGCTGGGCTGAGCGATGGACAGGGCTGGCTTCCCAGACGGCAGGCTTAGTAATTCAGTCCTGAAAATGAGCCACTCGCTCCGAAGGCTCAGTAGGAGTTGGGATAGCTTGCTTTAATGAGTAGTTAGGGAAGAATTCACCGTGCAACCCACTCTGTTGGACAGTGAAACCTTACTTTGCTGGGTGATGGCCTGGAGTCTCCATCTCCTATGTTGAGACCAGACCTGATGGGAAAAGAAGTGACATTTTCCTCTTCGCTCAGGAAGGATTTATACACAAGTGGCTGTGCAAAAAGTGACGACCCATTTTCGGTTTAGCAGTTTTAAGAAAATCAGAATTTGGCTTGGAACATTGCCTTTCTATTGAAATGCATCCTGGTGTGATGCACATACAAGTAGCCTCCTTGGACACAGGACAGGCCATGTTCAGAGAACCCTTCTGCAGCTACGTCTTGGATGAAGCCAGTTACTTGCTCCTTCCAAACAGATGCAGACAGAAATTTCAGAGAGAGACTTCGCCCAAAATATTTTTTTTCCCTGATTCCAAAGGACAGTTTCCATGCAACAGAGAAGGCTTTCTCAGTGCGTACGAAACGGTCCCTGGCTGTCCGTTTGGTGCACTAGTATCCTCTTTAATCCTTTCTGCTGACAAGCTACGATGCGGTGAATCACCACAACACTACACCAAAAGAAAAGAAATGCTCTGTGCTGGGTGAAAGCACTGCACAGAGCTGTGTCTCCACCCAGATGAGAGGGACATCCATCTCCTTCTGTCTGACAGAGCCGTTTCGCCTACGTTTCCCCATTTCTTATGCCTTTTCTGTTTGTATTTTTTTAGCCATGCTAAAAACCTTGTCACCCTACGAAGGACCAAGGGATACGACAATGCCTATCAGGGCTGGCTGCCTCGCCTGGCCCTGCCTTGCTCTGCTTAGCCCAAAATGTACGCCCCAAAAGCAAGGGTGCAGAGCATTCATGGGCCACCCTCACCCAGAGGGCTTTGAAGCTTTGTGCCTGATGTGCTTGCATGCAAGCAGTGCAGATGGGCGGCGGATCTGGAGAGGAGAACAGGCTCCGAGTCTGCACTTAATGGCCAGTGTAAACATCCCCCTGAAATCTCTTTGCAGAGCCAGCCTCCACTGTCTCTCTGCTATTCCCCACTCCCCTTTTACCACCCAACCTCCTGACCTTGCAAAAAACATGTCTGTGAGGGGTCAGGGCTTGGGTCTGGAGCAGATGCTAGAGCCTGGGATCGGGGGTGGGTGGCCCGAGGGCTGGGCAGAGCAGCATTCCTGCACTGGCTCTCTGCTGGAGATAAGGTGGCCCCACGCCGTGATTTACACCAAGGAAGCGGAGTTTGAATGAGGCCTGCATGTTCCCTGGCAGGCGAGGCAGGAAAAATCCTGCGGAATAAAACCCTTTCAATCTGTCAGTAATGGTTTGCTTTAGAAAAACATCTAATTATATATAGCTAAAAGCACCATGCTGGTCTGGACCACAAGCCATCGCTCACAGCATCCAAGCCCGAATGCACTGGAACATACCAGGGATTGAGCTAATTTATTTCTGCTTCGGTTAAGCCTGGCTCAAATCCCCCTGGTTTTGCAACCTCCTCCTGGTTGGGCTTCAGCAGAAAAGGTGAGACAAAAAGCAGCAGCAGCACTTCCGAGTGAGAAGAACCCTGCTGGGATGCTTAAAGTCCCTGTTTGGGGCCTGGGGAAAGTCAGGGCTTCAAAAAATGGATTAATCACCCCGCCACGGAGAGCAGACACCTACCTAAAGTCAGTGAACACCAAGAGAAGCTGCCTAGGGCCAGCTGAGAGGAGTGCAGTGAATGCAAAAAGGGCAAAGCAGACTCCATCTAAAATAAAATCCATGGCCTTCCTCTCCTAAAACTGATGGACACAGGCTGGAGAATAAGACCTGCAGCAGGTCCTCTGCTCTGCTGGAGAGGTTTGAGGTTGCAATTACCTCCCTTTGGTGCAGGTCCCTGGGAAACCTGGTCCAGGTGCCACCAGCCCCAGTGAGAATGTGGAGCCACCAGCCAGGCACTTTCCCAGATGTGGCTGGTTCTTTCCTTGGGCCTGGAGCCAGCTGATGGCTCAAGATCTTTGTCTAGGAAACACGTTTCCACCCCATTGGGTCATCGTTGAGAAATAGGTTCAAGAAGGGAAGAGTCTGGATTAGTCTGAGTTACGACTCCACATTCAAGGTCACACTGGGAATGTGACATCAAAACCGGGGCTAAATTCTTTCAATACATAAAAAAAAAAAAAAAATCCTTCTTTGAGCACAGCAGATGACTTTGGAATTTGAGCACTTCCAACTTTTTTTCCCCCAAATATCTTATTACACAATTTCTGCTCCCCTGGAGAACACCAAGTCCTCTTCCTTCTATCCCAACAAGCCCAGCAGAGGTAACGCTGATAACCTGGCCACAGCTCCGGAGAGTTCCCCTCACTGCTGCAAATGGTCTTAAACCTACCTAAGGAAACCCACTGAAATGAATCAGGTAACAAATAGCAAACATGTAGTTTACGCAGCAGGGTACAACTAGGAAATCTTCCCCTTGGCGAAACAATAGGGCCATTGTGCTCCCCGTCTGAGCAGTCAGCAAACTCTGCTGGTCCGGGGCTGTAATGAATTAAAGGCTTTTCTGCAGCAGATACAATTGCTGCTCGTTACTAAGAAAAGCACTTTGTCTGGGCATCTGCAGCATGCTAAATGCATGCGTTCATGTTCCTAGCATAGTCAAATTTACTAAATAGTTGAGGGAAAGGCGATTAGCAGACTTGAGTGACTCAGCTCTGTGCTCATTTCTCCTGTTTCATAGGATTCCCAATAATGTGGTAGCAGGAATGCTTGCAGCTGGAGCGGCCGCTCTGACGGCAGAGCTGGAGAGCCTGGTGGGATGGACACGGGGGCACCGACAGCTTCTGCTGCCTGGGCTCCCTGGATTTGTGCTTCTCGGGCTCTGTCCTTGGAGGTTTTCCAGGCTCAGCTAAACAAAGCCACGTCTGACCCGACCTCACGTTGGCAATGGACCTGCTGTGAGCAGGGGTTGGTTGGGAGCACCATGAGGTCTCTCTGGATCCCCTGGATCAAAGCCGAGGTGGTGGCATTATACAGGTTATAGGTTATATAGGATGGGGTATCGAGGCAACAGGGCTGACCTTTCCCTCTCTGCCATCAAATAACCTGATGGCCTTGGGCAAGGCACTAAAACTTCCCTTGGCTGTATTTCCAGCACTAGGCAGACAGCCTGGTCCATCTCTGATGTGCTTTTTGGGCTGGGAGGGAAGGGCAGTGAGGTTATGGGACTGCAGGCACTGGGGCTTTTCCAGCAGGGTCCTGAAAGCCACCGAAAAGCTGTAGCTCCTTGGACACCAGCAGCAGTTAAAGCCAATGTGTTAGCACTCTGAGGTGCCATAAGTAGGGCTTATTGTGAAACAAAAGAGATCCAGTCCAGGTGGTGGAAATTAGGAAGTGAAATGGCAAGAACAATTACTAGAACGATGTCATGAATTCCCCGCACCACAGCACTGAAGGATTGCGACAGGGAGCATACCAATGGGCCCCGATAATTCAGAGCCTTGGTTTCACTGAGGAAATTCTAACTAAACACACTCAATGCTTGCGTTTTGTCTTTAAATGATAGTGGCAGTTTGAATTGCTGTCAGGGCTCTGCACCACTGGGGTTGATCCTGGGCTCCCATCTTGCCTCTCCCTGGCCTCCAAACCTTAATGGAGATGGGAAAAGGGAGGCGAGAGCTGCGAAGCTGCTGTCTCCTGCATCCCCTTTCCCAGAGCGCACACATACCATGTGTCATGCTGAAACTGGATGCACCTGCTAGAGGAGCTGTGTGGGGGCAGACATTATACGCCAGTTATAAATCCTTAGGCTATCAACAGCCTTCAGTAAACATTTGGACAATCCTTCCTACCT